GATTATAGGTGTGTGCCACCACGCCCAGTCTCAATTGCTGTGTTAGTGTACCCTGGGCATGGGGCTGGCACGGCAGGCCTGGGTATCGTCAGGATTGGAGATTGAATCCCTGGCCCTGAGCTATCTGGCCGGCCTTGTTTGTTTCTTTGTTCTGTTTTGTTTTGTTTTTTTTGGTGCCAAGGACCGAACCCAGGGCTTCCAGCTTGTTAGGCAAGCATTCTACTGCTGAACCAAATCCCCAGACCCCCTGTTTGTTTTTTAACTGTAGCATGCTTGGAGAACAGGAATACAAAAATATTCCGTTATTGGCTAATCCCACACCATACAATGAATAAAGGACTGTGAGAATGGACCGTTTCATGTAGAAATACACCAGGAGGGCATCCCCCTGTGCACACAAGCAGGTCCCAGTCTGCTGGCAGGAAACCAGGAAGACTAACTGGAGTGCACAGTGGGAGGGAGTAGTCTGTCCAGCTTGAGGAGTCAGGGCACAGTAAGTGCAGGGGCCCTTCCCTGGGAGGCTCTGGTGCTCCAGAGGCTGGAAAATGAATTAGGTTATTGGATTTTGTGCCGTTGTATTTTTACTTGTGCAGGATGGTGAGAGAACCAAAGAAGATGATGTTGGTTTCAGTTGCAGTTAGAGGAAGAGGTGGTTCTGTGGTAGAACACTTGCCTAGCGCCACAGGCTCTGGTCTCAGACCTCTGCAGTGCATGCGGACACGTGAAGAGAAATGGGGACAGTGAAAAGTGAGTGCTTGTGTTTTAAATGAAATAAAAGTGAAAAGGGGGAGCTGTAGCTCAGTGGTAGAGTGCTTGCCTAGCATACACAAGCCCTGAGTTCAAGCCCCAGGACCAGAAAAAGTGTGTGTTGCAGGCTAAATCTGTTTGGAGCTGTTAGAAGTTAATCTACAAGGGGGCCAGGGAGATAGCCCAGCGGCATAAGCACCTACCTGGCAAAACCACGACCCCAGGGGGCCTGGCCTTAGCTCAGTTGTTTAAGTGGCTGCTTCCACAAAGCTGTCAGCCTCAGGTTGCTGTAGTTCGATCCCCACAACACTCCAGCCAG